ATAACAATTTATTCGCATTCCTGAGCTCGTGCTTTGCTTGCAGCCTTAGAAAATAACATGAAGATAGGTAGATGCACCCCACTGCAAAGATCCCACAGGGTAGAAGCAAGGGGAAGCAGAGGTAGGAAAATTTGGGTCAAGGTCCCACTTGCAAGCACAAAAAGACGTGCATACAGGTCCATGCCTAGCTCTCCCCCAGAATCACCAACACTTCGGCCTGTTGAGGCACCACCTCTTTGGGAAGACATTCCTGACAATACTTACGAGCAAGACCAAGGCTCATTTGAGCCTTTGCAACTCCCAAAAACCATGGCAAGTTCATGTAAAATGTTGCATTGCAATTCAAATGATAGCTAAGTATAACAAATCCAGAGTCAGAATGACTACCTCAGGCAATGGCTGCCAAGGCAGAAATCATATCTGCATCACCTCCTGGATCGAGAAGCTCCACCAGAAGATAGGAGATGCGTCGTCTGCGACCAGGATGGGGTCTACAAATGTCAAGATTGTCTTGGGGAGCCACTCTATTGCACTGGCTGTTGCAGAAGTCAACATCTTTGCAATCCCTTCCATTGGATCAGTCAATGGAATGGTCAATTCTTTGAGCAAAGTTGTCTCGCTCACGTCGGACTCGTCATACACCTCGGTCATGAGGGCAAACAATGTCCGGTACTTACGGATAGGTGGGACTTGTTCGAAGAAGACGAACCGGAAGACCAGCTTGAGCCTGAAGATCTACCATCTGTGTCGGGACCCGAGTTCCAGCCGAAGGAAAACACCATGGTCATCATTGACAAGTCCGGAGTTCATCGCCTCCGGGTTCGATGCTGCGATTGTCCAAATGCCATGAGTCCAGACCTTCAAATGTTTCGACATGGATTTTTCCCCGCTTCATTTAACAAGCCGAAGACTTTATTCACCTTCAGGGTTCTCGATGATTTTCTACTGGACAACCTTGAATGTGGGACCTCGGCGATGAACTATTACAGCAAGCTCCGGCGAATGACCTCGAGGATGTTTCCACACCTTGTACCGGTAATGCCATGTCTCTCTCATCTAAAGGACATTATATTGACAAGGCATGGGGCAAGGACCGATACCGAGAGCTCATGAGAGTCGCCCGACAGTGGAGGCAGTTGAAGACGATGAAATGGCATGGCTTCGGCCATTGTTCCGACAGCCCGAATGCAGGAGATCTCGCATTATTTTGCCCGGCATGTCCTCAGCCTGGGATTAATGTGTCCTTCTCAGGGGATGAATCACTTGATGAGTGAGTCTTCCTCGATACCGAAGTCACCTCAGCGATAATAACAACTCCAAGGTGGAAATACACCCGGTCATTTGTTATGGATGGAAATTTCAAAGCTGAACACCTGCATCCCATGAAGCCATTTGATGAAGTTTGGCTGTCAGATGGGTTGGGATTCATGGTGGGAAAGGACAGGTATAACACGCATCTTGCAGAGGCTGCCGACACTTTAGAAAAATCAAGCTGCAACAATCACCGGGCAGTAAATCAAGCAAATGCGGCTCGGCACAAGCTGGAATCCACGGGCATCGGGGGAGTAGCCTGTGCGAGACACGGTTGCTTTGTTCCTCACTCGATGGTAGATTTTCAGAAAGGCGAAAGGCAAGCCGACCCAGCCATTCGATATTCACGAGTTAACCATGCATCATTCGCAGACAAATGAACATGGACTATGCCCTTTGTGAGGCTGCCCGGCACAACATGGAAGGCATCACCAGGGCGGTCACCTTCTATGATATCAACTGTCAATACAACAAGCACTTTCGGGTTCGGGTGGATCGAAGCCGATTTCTCGAAATGGTTCCGGAATTGACCATCATTCCCGGAATCGGGTTGTGGCACATCCACGGACATCAGGACAGCTGCTATGTCCGATATGCGTCGAATTTTATCGAAGGCATCGGTCGGATTGATGGAGAGATCATGGAGACCCTATGGTCACGTCTCAACCTGATTTCCCCTGCTGCTCGGGGAATGTCATCCCCGCATCGAAAGGAATGTCTCGATTATCAGATGAATGATTCCAATTTCTGCAAGATGATCCGCATGAAAAGGACCCTTTGCCGAAAATACAAGCAGGCGAAGAATGGCATTGCCGAAAGTGAAAAGGCTTTCGACATACTCAATGAAGCAGCACCCGGCGATTCAAAGACAGAGTGGCTAGCCAGCGAGAGGATCGCTCAGTCCAGCAGAATAAATAATCCTGCGGCTATGGATGTATATGAGATTAATATCAAGAAGGGTTAGTTGACTTTGTCTCCATCAAAGTCTGATTAATTTTGCATTCAGCACCGAGCAAAAAGGAGATCGAGCTTAGGCTACTAGAGGAGGGTAATGCCCGAAATGCAGCACCTGCTCGCAGGTCTGTGGCGACATGGATATCAATGGGGTTGGCGATTGAAGAGGCTCAAATCGCATTGCTCATCGAGGTCCGAAGGATTGGTAGAAGAACTACCGAGACACAGAAGTTAGACATCGCCCGGCAACGCGATCGTCTCCAAGGCCAGATAGATGGATTCACTCGGTCTGCTATTACGCATCTCGGAGAGGGATTTGATGCAGATGATGATCCTGAAGACTTGTACTTGGACATTCTTGATGATCTCGATGATGACTTGGCAGACTTCACCGAGACATCTGACACATGGGCAAACTCCCCTGAGCTCACTGTAATCCCATTGCCATCAAACCTCGGGGTAGATCGATGCAGACGCTGTATGGCAGACGATCTCATTCCGCTGGAGATGTCTCTTCGTGAAGGGCAGGCCAATGACTCCCTTCACAACCTCCGAATTCACTTGTGCAACAAGGCGATTCTGTTTCGAACAACAGTTAGGCAAGCCAAATCCCAGGCCCTGAAAACTCGAGCTTGGTCCCAGGTGACGTCGGTGCAGCAGGCGGTGTCCCTCCATGCCAGTATATATACGAAGACGAGGAAGCAAATGATGCAACTGGAGCCAGGGCAAGACCAGGTTCAGAAATACAAACCCCTGCTTCGAGAGCAACTCAAAATCAGCACTGCCGTCGGCGATCCAAATGCCCGAGGTCAGCGAAACGAGTCCCTCGCTTGGTTCTGGTCAGTCGAAGTCGACCTTGGGGGTCCCAATCACTCGTGGAATGAGGAATGTGAGTTCGGGCATGCTTGATGTGTCCCGCGCTCAGCTGACAGAGTCATCCGAAGTTTACCGAGTTCATTGGCTCCGGGCAAAGGCACTACGGGATCGATGGAAGGAAGAAATGATGTTGGTCCAATTGGAGATGGATTGGACATGTAACTTTTTCTTGTGGAAAGCAACCCAATGGGGTGACAGGATGCGGGAATCATTGGTGAAACACCTTCCGGGTCATGCATGCTACTCGGGAAGGCAATCCCAAATGTATTCATTGCTGGCACAGGATGCCCAGGCAGCATTTCAAGACCTGAAGACCGGGTTTATAGATGCTCGAGATGAATGAAATTTTTTTACCAACGATATGAAACAGCTACTTTGACCCAAACATTTTAGTCCCGGGAATTGGCCGGGTCGACCCATGTCGGAGTTTGAAAATTTTTATCAGTCAACCAGTGGCTCATATCTTGACCTCCGAACCAACTGCCATTGTCATTGTCATTTCCAGCTTCATAATCCTGCATTAACCATGTCTGTATTGCATACTCCCCCAACATCCCCTTCTAATTCTCAGACGTCCGGCAATGGGTTCCGACCCCTCACACTCACTCAGGCAGATATTGCAGCTACAATGTCAATGGCTGCATCTCGCATCCGAGCGTCCATCTCTCAATATCAGATGGAGGCTGCCCACACCCAGGAGCCATCTGCTACTCGGATCACGCACTTTAAAGCCGGGCTGCAATGGGAGATAGCTGTAAGAGGCTGATGACTGTGGTGGTCGATGCTGACATTTCCAACAGACTTTTGTGACTCCCATCCTGCAGTACTCAGCTGCAAGGAACATCATTTCGGTTGTTCCGAGCCCGGTTGCTCATATTCTTCAGTTGATTCCGGAGCTCACCTGGAACATGGTTCCGGACCACATCTTTTCATCCCACCTATGCCAGTTTCAAGACGTTGCAGATCTGGGGGATCCCTCCCGCATTGTATCCACCTATGGTACTCCATGGTGGACCGGATCAACTGCCATCCCGAACGAATTATGGCCATGGGATCAGGTATTCGCTAATTGTGTCTGTCACTACCAGCATTGGCTAGTAAGACTTTTACAGAATTTCCTTGAGTGATGACTAATCCTTTCTAGTCTGGCGTTGAGGACGAACGTCTTGTTGTTCCCGAGCAGGTGGATGAAAGCTCGGTTGCAACGCTGAAGGCACTGAGGTGGATGAGGGAACGCCTCCTGACAGTGATTGAGGATCAACAAGCTGGCATCCGTGAAAAGATGGCAGAGATTCAGATGTACACCGCCGTCCTAACCAAATTGAACCCAAGGGGACCAGAGTAGTTCTAGTCCTTCAGTTCAGAATGTTGAAGTCTAAATTCTGTACATGATGAAATAAGTACTGAAAATTACATACTGACTTTCGAATATCTGACCTATTGCTATATGCTGAGTCCTGCATACCAAATATCGAGCATCGAGATCCAGATATCTTGAGTTCCAAATATTGAGTCCCAAACATAGAGTCCCGGATATCCAGTCCCGAAGCCCAAGATTCGAGACGAGACTTGAAACTCGAACATTGCTATGAGTTGCGAGTTTTGAGTCCCCACCGAGTCCTGACAATCGAGTCCCACAGCCCGACTATCGAGTCCCAACCATCGAGTCCCAACCATCGAGTCCCGACAATCGAGTCTTGAAACCCGAGTCCTGACAATCGACTCCCGAAGCCCGAGATTTGAGTGCCGACCATCGAGTATCGAGTCCCCAATATCGAGACCCAAAACCCAAGCAGCCCGAAGCCCGAGATTCGACACGAAACAAATCAAAACTCCAAACACCACGACACTTTCTTGAATCACCGAGTACCGAAACCCGAGTACCGGGTACCGAGTCTTGAAACCCGAATCCGCACTATCGAGTCCCGACTACCGAGTCTTGAAACCCGAGTCCCGACAATCGACTCCCGAAGCCCGAGATGTGAGTGCCGACCATCGAGTATCGAGTCCCTATTATCGAGACCCGAAACACGAAGCCCGAAGCCCGAGATTCGACACTCGAAACAAATCGAAACAAAACTCAAAACATGACACTCATCAATTTTGGGAGTTGTTTTCTTGAATCACCGAGTACCGGGTACCGTGTACCGAACCCCGAAACCCGGTACTCGGTAGTCGGTGAAATCGAATATCGAGTCCCGACTATCAAGTACCGGGTACCGTGTACCGAAACCCGAAACCCGGTACTCGGTAGTCGGTGAAATCGAATATCGAGTCCCGACTATCAAGACCCGAAACCCGAATGTTGAGTATGGAGTGCCTGACATCTAGTATCATGTATTTGAAGGTGGGTACTAACACGGGTAACTACCTTTCTACTTCTTCCAATCCAACCTTGCCCATCCACACGACGGAATCCCAGCATAAACATGAACAGCATCCCTCATATACCATGCCCAGGCAATCCGATCCCCTTCCACTGCATGAACCGCGTGTCTGACAATCCTTCCCGAAAATGCAATCATGCACCCCGGATCGTACCTTAACTCCAGCTGCAGGCTTGGCATACTCATCCGAGCATTAGAATAATTCCCCACGCTAGTGAGAATATCAAAGCATTCGGAAATCGATGAGGGGTCTCGATGATTCGGGGTTTCCCGATTGCATATGACGGTGAGGCTGTTAAACACCGTTGCCCAGTACTGGAGAGTCTCTGACATCTTCGGCAGTTCCTTGCTTCGTGCCTTTTCTCCGAGGCTCGCAAAGGCTTGCAACCCTGCCCAGTACTGCTCAGGATGCATCACCCTGAGTGCCGCTGTGGCAATGGCTGCTGGCCTCGCAATGGCTTTGAGGATGTTCTCGGAGGATGGTCCCTTCAATGATGCAGATACCTCCGGATCGGACTGATTCTATGGGATTGGTGAGTTTAACTACCGAGATCGCCATCTCATCAGATCCTACCTCGTGCCCCTGCTGAAACCATGCCGGAGATAAATTAACGCATCCGGGAGTTAGGACATCATTTTCCGAGCTTGGTGTGAACCACTGTTGATTAGTCCGCCAAATCCCATCGAGCTTTATGCTTTGTTCGAGCATGGGAGCTAGCAAATCCGAGGCCGCCCAAATTTCATTCTGTACGTACCATTTGATGTTCAATATCCATCCAGTCACAATATATATAACACACCTGGGTGGCATCGGTCAAGGCGTCTGGGAGGTACCATGCGATGATGGCACCGGATGCATCAAGAATTGTCGCGGGTATGTCGATCAACTTTGTGCCCTCATGGCCAGGAGGACACCTCTCGAGCAACTTTTCCTCTCTCTCTTCATTACGCCCCGTGTCCTTTGGGGAGATCAATTTGCTATATCTTGCAATATCAATCGGCATCTGAACTGTGATGAAGCAATTTGACTGATAAAACGAATTTTCCGAATCTGCAGGAAGACTCACTGGGATTTTTATATGCCTTTATGAGCCGATCAACCAATTGATCACAAGCCATCACCAGATCAGTGTCTAGGTTTGGAGAAGGTATAACTGGGTCTCCTCCTGTCTTCTCTGCATTGAATTTCTGTTCCGTATAATCACATGCCACATGAGTGACAGTCAGGGCCCAAGTGCGCAAGAGGGTTATTTCATCATCGGAAGTGGAAGAAACATCCATGATTGAATTGATCTTGTGAGATCAGAAGCTGAATCCTGAATGTCCGCACTTTGGTGTTAAAGGGGGTGGAGATTGAGAGGATCAGATAAGGGAGCCTTGGATGATCTGAGCTTTCAAAGATCTATTTCTCTTATCATCTATTGCTCAATGAAATACCACATGATTGGAAGTCTGTTGGATGTCAGATACTCGTTTGTCGAGACCCGGGCCTCGGATCTCGGTACACTTCACTCGATTTTGATACCCGGGACACCATAGTTGGAACTTGTCTCGAATCTCGGGTCTTGGGCGTCGGGTCTCGGGTCTCGGGCATCGGGTCTCGGGTCTCGATGGTCGGGACTCGATACTCGATTGTCGGGATTCAATGGTCAGGCGTCGGGTTTCATGACTCGGTAGTCGGGACTCGATAGTCGGGACTCGATGGTCGATTTTCGGGATTCGATAGTTGGGGCTCAGATATTGGTACACTTCACTCAATTTTCGGTGGTCGGAACTTGGCATTTGGCATTTGGTAGGCTTGGATGATGTTGGCTTTCAAAGATCTATTATCATCCATTGCTCAATGAGATACCAGATGATCGGAAGTGTGCTGGACATCACATATTTGTTTGTCGAGACCCGGGTCTCGGAACTCGGTACACTTCGCTCGAGTTTCCACTTCACCCCTTTGCAAAGCTCCGTGCCATACCACATCATTAGATGACTTTGAATAATCACCTCCTTTGATTTGGATGATATACAACTAGCTGAGCTCCATCATGTCTACAATTATCATTCTCCTGGGCCCACCCGTCTATCTTATATACCCCCACGTCGGCCTACCCATCTATGCAATATATGTCTCCCGTCGGCCCACCTGTATATAATACATCTTTTACCGCTCCCTCGGCCCACCCGTCTACAAAATAATATTAATTCGTCGGCCCACCCGTCTAATATGATATATATCTGGGCCCACCTGTCTATGTGATAACAAGCACCCTTGATATACCCGGCTATTTGATACATATCTACCTTGGTACACCCATCTACATAATATCCAACTACCTCGGCCGATCCGTCTATTGAAAATTCATGTCCATCGGCCCACCCATCTACTTTACATATTCCCCACCTGGGCCCACCCGTCTCCATCGGGAATAATAACACTCCCGGCCCATCCGTCACAGTCGAGGATATATCTACCCTCGGCCCATGGTCCGCTGGCCCGTATCATACGGGATATTATGCACGTCCGTCCACTCGTATAATACGGAGATATGTTACTGCAATATGTGGACACTTAGTGCTCAGCACTCGGTAGTCAGTATATTGTATTGTGCATCTTTCCCAAGTACATGCCCTTAATTTCAGAATGAAGTCCAGATGAAATCCAATGAAGTCCGAAGGACTTCCAGAGGCTGGCTACTCTGGTGGAGTGCTGGAGGACTTCTGGATGAGCACAGGAACCTTCCGGAGGAGTATAGGAACTTCTAGAGAAGTATAGGAAACTCTGGAGGAGTTTCACCTGCTGCATAGGGTCCGAAGATAAGACTTCTGAAGGTAAGCTTCCTAGATGGAAGCACATGGAGGAGAGACTGCAAGGGACAGAGTCCAAAGCAGGATCATATAGGAGGAGTGGTCCAGAGGACAAGACGTCTGAAGGTTACGCCATCTGCATGTTCAGATGTCCAAAGGTTTAGATGTCCAAAGGTTATGATGTCTGAAGGTCATGATGTCCAAAGGTTACAATGTCCAAAGGTTTTGATATCCGAAGGGTAAGATGTCCGTAGATCCAAAGGTCCGGAGATCCAAAGGTCCGGAGGTCAGCAGGAGTGGACAGGATTATAGGACAGGAGAATAAAGGCTACCATGGACAAGGTCTGGAGTAGAAGCAAACAGAGGTAGGCTACACTTAGGTGGAGTCGGAGATAACAGGAAGTAGACATAAGTCTTGGAAAGACAGGAAGTGCCAGAAAGGCAAAGGTCCAGCTTAAGGAATCAATCCTTAAGCTTGGATAGAGATGGAAGGACAAATCCGAAGGTTTGGAAGTCCAGCCTAAGGAATCCTTCAAATTGGACTCAGATCTCGGTACACTTCACTTGATTTTCAATATCCGGGACTCCATAGTCGGAACTTGAGTCTTGAATCTCGGGTGTCGGGTCTCGGGTCTCGATGGTCGGGACTCAATATTTGGGACTCGTTGGTCGGGACTTGATACTCGATTGTTGGGATTCAATGGTCGGGCATTGGGTTTCAGGACTCAAATCTCGGGCTTCGGGACTTGGGTTTCAAGACTCGGTAGTTGGGACTCAATGGTCGATTGTCGGGATTTGATAGTCAGGGCTCGGATATTGGTACACTTCACTTATTTTTGGTAGTTGGAACTTGGCATTTGGCATTTGGTAGGCTTGGATGATGTTGGCTTTCAAAGATCTATTATCATATATTGCTCAATAAAATACCAGACGATCGGAAGTGTGCTGGACATCACATATTTGTTTGTCGAGACCCGGGTCTCGGAACTCAGTACACTTCACTCGAGTTTCCACTTCACCCCTTTGCAAGGCTCCATGCCATACTACATCATTAGATGACTTTGAATTATTACCTCCATGATATACAACTAGCTGAGCTCCATCATGTCTACAATTATCATTCTCCTGGGCCCACCCATTTATATTATATACCCTATGTCGGCCTACCCGTCTATGCAATATATGTCTACCATTGGCCCACCCGTATATAATAAATCTTTCACCGCTCCCCTCGGCCCACTTGTCTACAAAATAATACCAATACGTCGGCCCACCCGTCTACAAAATAATATTAATTTGTCGGCCCACCCGTCTAATATGATATATATCTGGGCCCACCTGTCTATGTGATAACAAGCACCCTTGATATACCCGGCTATTTGATACATATCTACCTTGGTACACCCATCTACATAATATCCAACTACCTCAGCCGATCCGTCTATTGAAAATTCATGTCCATCAGCCCACCCATCTACTTTACATATTCCCCACCTGGGCCAACCCGTCTCCATTGGGAATAATAACACTCCCAGCCCATCCGTCACAGTCGAGGATATATCTACCTTCGGCCCATGGTCCGCTGGCCCGTATCATATGGGATATTATGCACGTCCATTCACTCGTATAATATGGAGATATGTTACTGCAATATGTGCAATGGTGGACTTTCAAAAGGGGGAAAGGTTTGCCAATCAATATCTTCATTTGCCCAATGTGAACTGATTTATTGGTCGGTCAAAGGCAGATGAACATGGATTATGCGCTGTGTCAAGCTCTGGGGTACAACACCGATGGGATTGACCGGGCATTGACGTTATATGACATCAATTGTCAATACCACAAGCATCTCGACCAGCGGGTTGAGGAGTCACCTTATCTTGACCTTCCGTGGGGCATGGAGGTAATCCCTGGCATCGGTCTCTGGCATGTCCACGGCCATCAAGACAAATGCTACGTACGGTATGCATCCAACTTCATCACCGGCGCTGCCAGGATTGACGGTGAAATCATGGAGACCCTGTGGGCACCCTTGAACATCATATCACCATCGGCGAGAGGAATGTCCACCCCCCACCAAAAGGAGTGTTTGGATTTTCAAATGAACGACTGTAATTTTATGAAGATAATATGGATGAGTGAGCCAGATCATTTGACTGAAAGTGCAAATCTAAATACAGATAGGCAAATTCCTTTGCTGAAAATTCAAGGAGGCCATGCAGGGAGTCCGAGACAGCCAACACGCATTGACCGATTGAGTGAGACCGTTGATCATGATACCCTTGTCAAATGGGAAGCAGAGGCTGCTGCCACTCAGGATGACCAACTCAAAAATCCCAGTGCCATGGATATATATGAAGTTAAAATGACAAAAGGTCTGTGGCAATATAATCACAATTTACTATATGCTCATGTTGATCTGCAAAGCACCAACAAGGAAACAACAAGAGTTGCATCTGTTGACCCGACAGGCGAGATGGCTGGCCGGTGAGATCCATCGTGGTGCTGTGACATGGCTGGCATCTGGAATAACACTGGAGGAGGGGCAAGTTGTGCTCCTGATTGATGTGAAGAAACTTGGAAGGCGGCCGACCGATGCTCAGAAGCTGGCGATAGCTTGGCGCCACAACAGAATGCAAGGTCAAATAGATGAATTCGTCAGGGTGGCAGTGACATTTCTCGGCGATCAACTGGATGAATATGATCAGTTGGACCTCATGACCATGATGTTGGATGCTGCAGAACTGGATTCTGCTGGGTCATCATCTGACGATCCTGATCGGCTGGACGACGAAGACCGATATGATATGCCAGTCAAGTTCACTCCCAAGACCCTGGTGATTCCACTCCCCTCGAACATAGGGATTGAAAGATGCGCTGAGTGGGGCATTGCCGACCTGGTGCTCCAAGAAATATTATTGAGAGAAGGTCAAGCCAATGACGCATTGCATGCCATCAGGGTTAACTTGGCTGACAAGGCTGTTCTCTTCCGCACCACGGTCTGGTTGGCGAAGTCACAAGCTCGGTCAACTCATGCATGGGCCCGGGTGCACTCGGTGGACAAGATCCTTCACTTAAATGTACAGATATACTCCAAATGTTGCAGCCAACTCATTCACCTCGGCGCCAATGACTTACTGGCCAAGTTTCGGCCATTGGAGAAGGCCGACCTAAAGGCTACTATGGTGGTGGCAGACCCAAATGCTCACGGTCAAAGGAATCGCACGTTGGCGTGGTTCTGGTCCATTGATGTTCAAGGAGATTCCACCAGCAATGACTGGATGAATGAATGTATGTATGCTCATTGCCTATGTACCTGTACCTATCCGATGTCAATATTTTTTGCACTACAGTTTACCATGTCTTGGCTTAGAACGCTGGCACTGTGTGATAGATGGGCAGAGGAGCTCCTGCTGGTTGGTCGGGAAATGATATGGACGTTTAATTTTTTTCTTCACAAATCACAATGATGGGTCGGCTGAATGCAAGAGGCCGATGCAAACCAGAAGATCGGTCATCGGTGCTATGCGGCCCGCCAGGCTCAAATTTATCTCCGACTCTCACAGCAAGCCCAAGATAGCTTTGAAAGGACAAAGGGGATGGCAAGGGTGGCAGAGTGACCGGGGTCTACAGTGCCACAACTGCATTCGGGCGGTGGTAAGTGCCATAGTGGGCCACAGTGGATTAGTCAATTATATATAACCTTGTGATTCTGCATTTATTACACACAACTTGTCCTTGCTCCAACCATCATGTCCAATTCATCAAAATATGATTTGACCAAATTTACAATCTTGGATGCTACCAACATCCTAGAGTACGCCACTTCTCGTTTTGCGACCATCTGGATTGCCTGTGACCGAAGCCATGTGCCTTGGTCGCCGGCTTACATAGCCAGCTTCGTCTGGCACCTTCAATGGGAGGCAGATGTAAGTTCTTCAGCCATCGGCTGTGTCAGTCGGTCGGCGTCATGTAATAACTAATCCATCCTTCAGTCATCTGTCTTCCCATACATCAACATATGCATGGTGCTCAATACTCACCCGACCATGACCGACCTCCTCCGCAGCATTATTAGCAGATTCACCTGTCTCCAAACCAGGAACATCACCAGCGAGCAGTTCTATGCTGAATTCTTCGTGCACTGTTCCCCTCATGACCCTGAACTGAGATCTACTCACAGAGTAGTTCTCAAATATGCCCATGATTGGTGGAAGGATCGTTTTGATACCTTGGGATTCACCTTGCCATCCTTGGATGTCAATGAAGTCTTGGATATGATGGCAGATCACTTTGAGCAACTGGTCGGTCATTTCTCTTTTATGCTCAACTGCTACTGATTCTCATTTGTAGCCTATGGGAGCAATGCTTCTGCCCGGCCCTGCAGTCGCTGGTCAAGTGGAAGGTGATCCCCTCCTCAATCAAATTCTGGCAGTGAAGGCCCGTGTCCAACATCTCGGCAATTCATTAGAAAGGATGTTGCAGGAGAAGACCATGAAGGCCGCAGCGGCCGCAACAACCATGTCCGAACTTGAAGGGCCCATGGATCAGCTGGAGGAAGCACTCTTAACCTCCCGCCGGCCATGAGTCAGCTGCTAGTTATTGCACCAGTAATATTATGTATTATACCGGAAATATGAATAGTATTACCTAATGTGATTTGGTCAGTGTGTATATGAGCCATCGGTCTCTGATTTTTCTTGTTCCCCAGTCATGACTGCAGTTCCAGCTGACTGTGCGTTGTATACCACATGCATTGCTAGCAAGTTTGTGAAACAGCTGTTTGATTGCAATGTAGCTGGCAATGCACAGTCAATCTCGCCTCCCTTGACAATTGATGTGCCAACCATGCTTGCTTGTCAGCATCTGGCCCGGGTGCTCGCCGATGCCTATTCAAACCCAAGTAGGCCATTCCTACCATTCGCTCGGTCGTTGCCTGACCCATTTCAGTCCAACTTGATCTTGATATGATTAGGTACAATGAGGCCCTCCATAAACGCTCTACCGGGATGGTTGCAACACATGAAGATTCCCTGCTGAAAAAATTTCCTTGTGGGCCAGAATGTTTGCTGGAGAAGCCCTCGGTCATTTTGGACTCGGCCGGTCGTATTGTCTTGTGGTACCTTCCAGATGCCATTAGCCCGTGGATTCAAGTGAGCTGATTATTATGACCCATCGGCCAACTGATTCGCCAACTTCACAGGCCGAGATGGAAGACGCTACAATTGGTATGGGGTCCCTTCTAATGAAAAGCATGACCAGTGGTCTGGACACCCAGTGGAGAACATTCCCCGGTAATTTTCATGCCAGTGACCAACACCAATTGACCCCAGGATGTATCAATTTAGCCCCTTGTTGGTTCATGCAAGGCCGGGAGGTCGGTCTGCTTCTCCACCAGAATGCTAATGCTTATGTAGAAATTTTAGCCACACGGATTACCACCGGCTGATGGATTTACCCCCGAGGTGTCAGCCGCCCTGAAAGGGAAAGGTGGTCCCGAGATTATAATCTCTATGCAGCGTGCAGCACTACTGGCCTCAGCTGCTCTTAGGGTGATGCATCCAAAGTTGTATTGGGCGTCGGTCACTACACATATCAAACTTGCCCGATGGGCAGTAGAATGTGGCCTCAGTGATACGAGCACTTGCTTGCAATCTTGGGCCTTGGTGTTTAATTGTGCAGCTGTAATTTGCAACAGACAATGTCCTCTTCACCAAGATCCAAGTTCTACTCCTGAAGGGTTTGATGTCATGAGCAGTGTCGGCCATTATTGTAACGGGCTCATGACATTTTCTAACCTCGGTATTCGGTTGCAATATAACTCAGGCGCTATGGTCGGCTGCTCTGGCCACTTTGTCAGGCATGGTGTCACATACACCGGCGATCACATTGTGTGGGCTTGGTTCGTCCATGACAGCCTTCAGAATTTTGTGGGGACACCTCGGCCATCATACACAACTTACATGGGTGTAGACTAATATGTTTCTGTCTTGGCTTACATAGCGCAGTGATAGTATGATAATAACTGATGGTTTTATTCAGCGACCAACCGACCGACCAGTCCATCCTATAGCATCATGTATTCAGTTACATATTCACCCATATGATAACATCAGTTCTGTCAGCCGACCTGATAGCATCAGGTATTCAGTATTCTTGGCCCATATGATAATGTCAGGTATGCAGTTTCATCGGCCGACCTGATGGCATCAGGTATACCTTTCCATTGGCCTATATGACAACATCATGTATTCAGTTTCGTCGGCCCATAAGTTTGCATCAGTACCATTGGCCGACATGATGGTGTCAGCTATTAATACATACATGATGCCCTCATGTAGGCCGAAAGACCTGATACCATCATGTCGGCCGAGTATACTGGATGCCTGATATTATCATATCGGTTGACAAAACAAATACCTGATGCCATCATATCGGCCGATAGACCTGATACTATCATGTCGGCCGAATATACTAAATGCCTGATATTATCATATGGGCCGACGGAAATGAATTCCTTATACCATCAAGTCGGCCGATGGTACTGATGAAAATGTATGGGCTGACAAAGCTGAATGCCTGATGTTATCGTATGGGCCGATGGAAATGAATTCCTGATACCATCAGGTCGGCCGATGGCACTGATGAAAACATATGGGCCGACGAAACTGAATGCCTGATGTTATCATATGGGCCGATGGAAATGAATTCCTGATACCATCAGGTTGGCCGATGGCACTGATGAAAATGTATGGGTCGATGAAACTGAATGCCTGATGTTATCGTATGGGCCAACGGAAAGGTATACCTGATGCCATCAGGTCGGCCGATGCAACTGCCTGATGTTATCACATGGGCCGAGAATACTGAATACCTGATGCTATCAGATCGGCCATTGAAACTGATGCGAACGTATGGGCCGACGAAACTGCATATCTGATGCAATCACATCGGCCAAGAACATGAATACCTGTTCATGTCTCTCAGCCCATATGATGGCATCATACCCACAATTGCCAGACCAATCCGCACAGGAACATATATGCTTCACCCCTGTCATCGGCCGGATGAGACACTTGCCATCGGCCAATCGGTACACACAGTAGCTATAGTGTGTGGGCCCAGCTGACAATATCACACCACCAATTTTACTGGCCCTCGGCTGATATGTTCATGTTGAGCATCCCAATGCATGGGCCCAGCTGTTAAAACCATCACTCCATGAGCCCACCGGCCAAATGTTAAACACAGACATAGATATTCGGTTGGCCAATGTCTGCTGGCCTGTGTGGAACAGCATATTTTCAACATTTGCTGCATGTATAATACATGCAATGTGACTGAATGGGCTCAATCTGGCTATGGAGTTTGGGGACCAGGTGATAGATTATATCGCAACTATCACCCCAAACTAAACGGTATGTTTCTTGAAGCTCTTCTAGCTAATTGCAACTAATGTATAAACTTTTGAAGGTCGCCCATGTGATGCAACAGGTCAATTCCTTGCTGATGGAGCACCCCCCATACCGCCACCAAGCAAATCACCTGATGACTGGACTCCCTACCGAAATCGTGTTGAGTTCGAGACCACGGAATTTCTGTACACGCGTAATCAGATGTCAGCGGGGAACATTAATATCTTATTGGATCTTTGGGCTGTGACCCTTTTGAAACACAACAACAAGCCACCATTTGTGGACTGCCACAATTTATATAAGACCATTGATAGCACACCGGTAGGTGATGTCAAATGGCAATCTTTCAATGTCCGGTACACAGGGGAGAAGCCAGCACACAATGTACCACCCTGGATGACCGAATCTCATGAAGTCTGGTATTGAGACCCCCATGAGGTCATTCGGAACATGTTGGCAAACCCGGACTATGCAAAGGAAATGGACTACTGGCCCTACCGTGAGTTCTCGACTGATGGTAACGAATGTCAATGGCAAGACTTCATGTCTGGTGACCGGGCTTGGAATCAAGCAGTATGTTATCTTTCCTTATTTTATGTAGCTAACACACTGATGATGTTCAGTAGGATATCATTTCCAAAGATTCAGATACAGCTGGCTTGACCTTTGTGCCAGTTATTCTCAGCAGCGACAAAACAACAGTTTCAGTGGCAACTGGTGCCAATGACTACTATCCACTGTACGTATCAATTGGAAATGTTAGTAATAATGTCCGATATGCACATCACGATGCTGTTGCCATCATCAGTTTTCTAGCTATGCCAAAGAGTAATATTCATCCTACTATTGTCGTTCTGCGCTAACTACAGTTGAGCAGCTACCAAAGAGCATGTGGCCTGCCCAAAATATCGCAAGTATTGCCGGCAACTATTTCATTCATCAATTTCAAAGATTCTCGAGAACCTCAGGCCTGGTATGACAAAACCAGAAGTTGTGCGTTTTGGCGATGGGCACTATCGACATGTTATCTATGGGCTTGGACCATATATTGCAGATTATGAGGAGCAGGTTTTGTTGGCATGTATAGTGCGCTCTTGGTGTCCAAGGTATGTTCCTCAATGTATTTTCAATATACGCTCTGACTAGGTATTTTTAACATACAGGTGCATGTCACACCGCAAAAATTTGGACTCCAAGTCATTGTATCGCAATCGCGACCATACAGAAGCACTCATTGAAGAAGTAACATCCAGTTATCTGTGGGACAAGTATGGGATTGTTGCCGACCTTGTTGTAAGTCACCTGTCTTGTGGAACCGCAGTTGAGACTTAAGTATTTCTAGCCGTTTACAAATGATTTTCCCCGAGGAAATATTCATGAACTTATCGCACCGGACCTCCTACACCAATTGATTAAAGGAACCTTCAAGGACCATCTAGTTGAATGGGTGGGACAATATCTGCATCATGTGCACAGCAAGAAAGGAGCAGAGAAGATTCAAGATGATATAGATCGAAGGTATGTCCTTTTTGTCTGAATTCAATGTCTCAAAGCTGATGTTGTTAAAGAATCGCTGTTGTTGCCTCGTTCTCAGGTCTTCGACGTTTTCCTCAAGGTCGGGGGTTCAAACAATGGACTGGCGACGATTCAAAAGCTCTTATGAAGGTAAGTTTAATGTTGATATTGTGACCTTCAGACTAACAACAGTTCAGGTTTATCTACTGTTAAGACCGTACTCAAGAAGTATCAGATCCGAAGGGCTTTGGCCTCAGCTCGTGCGCTGTGCCCCTTTCCTGAGTCTTGCCCCTTATTTCAGAGTGCTAGAGTATCGCGTCTAGTGAGACGGATAAGTATAGTATCGGATCCATTAAGGCTTCCGGATATCGAACGTATAGAGTAACGGCTAATCCGGATCGGATCCGAACTAGAAACTAACGGGTGAAGACTGTCCAAAGACAGAGACGGATATATAGACTATAGGAATCAATCCTAAGTCTCAGAGTAGACAAGAGTATCGTACTCAAGTCCGGACGGATAACGGAGGGACTTAGAGTCCAGACAGAATGAGTGCAATCTAAGATGATATTCGAACTGATCTACTACAGCGCATGTACAAGGGTTTATATACTACAGATAACTAATGGAATGATCAATAAGCAAAGGTGCGAGGCTATGTACGAAGTATAAGCAAAGTATGTGTACAGCATATTGGTAAGTCGGATGGATAACGAATCATAACTGGGAATGAAGTCTAAGCTAAAGCGGATCAGTAAGTGTAGCGGATCAGTAAGCATAATGGAAGTAAAGGATAACCGGTATACCGGTGTACAGGAATGCAGAAAGGAGATGAATGATAGTTAGAGTTATATGAACAGGACATGAAATAAGGATTAGATCGGATCTGTGGACCGGACGACGGATATGTCCATCGGATCTGGATCGGATCTGAGATCCGGATCTTTGGATCTGTACCCGGGAATATGGTATATGACATCTACCCACCATCAAAGGTTACGTCCCAATGGACGTGGTGCGCACATTTCGTGCATTTCTCAAATTCTGCTATTTTGTACAGTGTAACATCATTACAGAATCCATGCTGGTCTGAATCCAGGACGCTCTCAACCGATTCCATCATTACAGGAAGATTTTCGAGTCTACAGGTGTCGTATTCACATTCTCTCTCCCTCGACAACATTCTTGTTCCCATTGCGCCCTCCTTGTTCGACTGTTCGGTGCACCCAACGGCCTATGTTCCTCAATTACAGAGACAAAGCACATTAAAGCTGTGAAGGAACCATGGAGGTGTTCAAGTCGCTACCAAGTGCTCAGTCAAATGCTGGTAACAAATCAGTGCCTTGACAAACTGGCAGCATCACGCATTGATTTCAAAAGCCGTGGGATGCTGAATGGCACCTGTCTATCTGAAACTCTTTGAGCACTAAGTGAGTTTTTATGGCATTATTATTTGCATTGCTTGCTCAAAATCTATACTAGCGCGTTTACGGTTAAATACTAGGGAGCCTGAAGCCAATGAGCCCAATGAAAATAGCATCGTGCTACTCCCAGATGTTAAGACCGTACTCAAGTAGTATCGGATCCGAAGGGCTTCGGCCTCAGCTCGTGCGCTGTGCCCCTTTCCCGAGTCTTGCCCCTTATTTCAGAGAGCTAAAGTATCGCGTATATAGAGTAACGGCCAATCCGGATCGGATCCGGACTGGAAGCTAACGGGTGAGGACTGTCTGAAGACAGAGGCGGATATGTAGACTATAGGAATCTATCCTAAGTCTCGGAGTAGACAAGAGTAGCGTACTCAAGTCCGGATGGATAACGGAGGGACTCAGAGTCCAGACGGAATGAGTGCAATCTAAGATGATATTCGAACTGATCTACTACAGCGCATATACAAAGGTTTATATACTACGGATAGCTAACGGAATGATCAATAAGCAAAGTCTAAGTGGAGCGTATTGGTAAGTTGGATGGATCACGAATCATGAACCGGGAATGAAGTACAAGTAAAAGCGGATTCGTACGTGTAGCGGATCAGTAAGCAAAGCGGAAGTAAAGGATAACCGGTATACCGGTGTACAGGAATACCGAAAGGAGATGAACGATAGTTAGAGTTATATGAACAGGAAATGAAATAAGAATCAAAGCGGATCTGTGGACCGGACGACGGATATGTTCATCGGATCTGGATCGGATCTGAGATCCAGATCATCGGATCTGTAACCGGATATATGGTATATGACAGTATCCCCCCCTTAGGGCCGATCCCTAGAGGCACAAGAATCAGCGATCCGGAACGGATGGTATGAGTGCGAGACAATGGAGAAGCTGATGGGAGAAGTTGCTGAGTTCGGATTCTGACAGATATACGGATGCCAAAGCGTCGCAGGGTGTTCCTTCCTTTCCCTACTTTTTCCACTACCACTAGCTTATCTCAACCATGGCTGATAACGGATCCGGCTCTAAGAAGACCGCTAAGCAGACTCTGGCGGATATCCAGGCCGCGCTTGGCTGCTGCTGAGGCCGAGGTTCAGAAGGAGGAAGAGGCTGAAAAGCTGAAGCAACAAGCGGAAGAGGCGGAACGGAAGCGCTTGGCAGGGATTAAGAAGATTGAACGGGCTGAGGCCCGAAGGGAAGCGGAGGAGGCTAGGCGCAGGGCTATAGTAGCGGAAATGGTGAGTTATGACTTGTTCTATCGGATCCGTCCCTTATCGGATCCGTAGTCTCGCGCCATCTCAGCGGATAAGGATGGGGCTTGTACCCGCTGCGCTAAGAAGGGTCGCGCCTGTCTGTGGTCCGATGCGGATAGCAATTCCTTGGTAAGTCATCCTTGAATCTTCGGATCCGTGACTCTTAACATTCGGATAGATCAAGGCTTGTAACGCGTGCCGGAAGGACAAGGCTCCTTGTCCCGGACGACCTGGAACCGTTACGGATTCCAAGTCTAAGAAGAGGCAGCGCGCTGCTGAGAACCCATCTCCGAGAGGCAAGGGTAAGAAGCGCCAGCAGAGTCCAACTCCGGATCCGGATATGAAGACGGTAGTAGCGGATGAGGTGGAAGTGGAGTATGATGATCAGGCCTGGGTCGCGGCCGCTAATAGCATTGTAGCGGAACTGGCTCGGACCAACGGATTGCTCCAGCAGAGCATCGGAGCGGCGGAAGGGAGTAGGACTGCTATAGAGCGGATGAATACTAACTTGGAGGCGTTTTTGGAGCAGCAGAGGGAGTTCCAGACCATCCTTCTTGAGGGGATCCGGAATGGAATCCGGATTACAGAGGCGGCTCGTTCTGAGGCCACTGACAAGGACGTTGAAGAATCCGGATCCGGATCCGGATCGGGTGGGGACATGGAGATGGATGGCTGAGGATTTTCGGATCTGCCTTCTCTGCTACTAATGTACTTGTATATCCGCTTTGTATATTCATTGTATAGCAATAGGACCGGGTTTGTCTGGATATGCAGTGTGGAAATCCGAGACTAGATCGGACGCGTTTCCGAGTTCCGTGGCTAGTAGCCATGAAGTCTCTTCGTCTGTTCCTTCGTATCCGGACCATCGGACGAGGTATAAGAGTTGGCATTGTCTTCTACGACGGTCCAGCTTAGAGTCTAGGATTTCGGATATCTCATATTCTGGTTCTCCGTCGACTTCGACCGGAGGTGGAGGAGGCTGGATCCGATTGGGAATTGTGTTCGGAACGGATGGTTCTAGCTGTGAGACGTGGAAGACGGGGTGGACGGATTTCATGGATTCGGGAAGTCGGATGGTAAAGGAATGGGTACCCGGACGGGATATGACTTCAAACGGACCTAGATTCTTTTCCGAGAGTTTCTTAGACGGACGAGTGGACCGGAAAGTACTTAGCCTTGACAAAGACTTGGTCTCCGATATTGATATCTGGAGCAGGTTTCCGTTTAGCGTCCGCAGGTCCTTGATATCTTTCTTGGGCGTGAGCCATTTCTTCTCTAAGGAATTGGTGAAGGTCGTCGAGGTCTATAGCATAGTCGCGAGCGCGGATGGAGGATAGATCGCGTTCCGGATGGACGGATATGTTCGGATGATAACCCTTATTAGCAAAGAAAGGCGATACTCCGGTAGTAGCACTTGGAGCGTTATTGTAGGCAAATTCTGCTAAGGGAAGTAGTTCCGACCAGTTGTCCTGTTGATAATTGCAATATATCCGAAGGTATTGTTCCAGGGTTTGGTTGGCACGCTCGGTTTGTCCATCCCCTTCCGGATGGTATCCGGATGTGAAGTGGAGGACCATATCCAATGCTTTTCCTAAGGATCGGAAGAAGTGGGATACAAACTCTGTACCCGCGATCCGAGGTGACATGGGACGGAACTCCGTGCTTGGAAAACACATGAAGTAGGAATAGACGAGCGAGATCCGGAGAGGTAATGGTATCGTGAGTCGGAACAAATATTGCTTGTTTGGATAAACGATCTATGATAACGAGGATGGCTGTAAAGCCTGATGAGTCCGGAAGTTGCTCTATGAAATCCATGGATATGGAATTCCAAGGCTTTTCCGGTATGGGTAGTTGCTTGAGCAATCCGTAGGGTTTATGTCTCGGAACCTTGGCTCGGGCGCAGGTAGTGCAGGACCGGACGTAGTCCTTAACATAGGTGCGTATACCCGGCCATGTATACTCGCGTCGGATGAGGTCTAGGGTTCGGTTTTGACCAAAATGTCCGGATAAGGGGTGATCATGAGTATTACGGAGGACGCGAAGTCGAAGGTTATCGGATTCTGGGACATATATACGGTTGTCGCAACGGAGGAAACCCCTATCGTCCACTGTCCATCTCGGATCTGAAGGTACCGGAAGATGGTTGGTTGCAATAGGGTCATTAGGAAGTGCGGTCAGGATGTCTTTCCGAAGGTCATCAATATCCATTAGAACAGCTGCTCTAAGAACCGGAGTTGCTAAGGTTGAGGCTCGTAGGGACGAAGCTAACTGTTCGGACGTGAATACCGGACGGAAGTTATGAGGGTTAACTCGAGCGTAGTCCTTATCCCCCTCTTTGGGATAGACGTCCCAGCGTCTAGTAAGGGAATCCGGTTTAACTCCGAGTTTTCCGGGACGGAAGCGGATGACAAGATTGAACTGATGGAGGAATTCCGACCAGCGGGCCTGACGGCGAGAGAGGAGTTTGGTAGTGGCGAAGTACTCAAGGTTCTTGTGGTCCGTGACAACATCTACAGGCTCGGCCGAGCCTTCTAGATAATGTCGCCAGGTCCGGAAAGCTTCATATATAGCTAGAAGTTCCTTATCGTGGGTGTCATAGTTAAGTTCCGGAGCGGTTAGCGTTCGAGAGTAGAACGCTACCGGACGAAGCTCTGAGTCCGGACATACTATGGATAGTATTCCAGCTATAGCGTAGTCAGAGGCATCGGTTTCCACAACTATAGGAACATCCGGCATCCAGTGCGTAAGCACCGGAGCCGTAGTGAAGGCTTTCTTGAGTTCTTCGAAGGATTTCCGACATTCATCGGAAAAGTTCCACGGAGCATCCTTGCGTGTAAGCCGTGTTAACGGAACCACGATATCCGAGTAGTTGAATATAAACCGTCTATAGAAATTTGCGAATCCGAGGAAGGATTGGATATCCTTGACTTTCCGAGGTTCCGGCCAGTCAGTAATAGCTTGGATCTTATCGGACGACATAGTTAAGCCGTCCGGAGATAGGAGATATCCGAGATATTCAACGGAGGTGGAATGGAATTCGCATTTTTCGGGTTTGGCATAGAGACGATGTTTACGGAGTCGACGGAGTACTTCTCGGACGTGTTGCTTGTGGGACGCAAGGTCATGGGAATAGATGAGGATGTCGTCCAGATATACGATAACGCATACATCCAGCATATCAGCAAACACGCTATTGACAAAGCGCTGGAATGCTGCTGGAGCGTTAGTGAGACCTTCCGGCATCACCAACCATTCATAGGAGCCATAGCGCGTTCGGAAGGCAGTCTTCCATTCGTCCCCTTCCGCTATCCGGACGAGATGATAAGCGGATCGGAGGTCGATTTTGGTATAAACTTTAGCACGGCTCGGAGAGTCTAATAGGTCGGCAATGAGGGGTAATGGATATCGGTCTTTCTTAGTGATCTGGTTGAGTCCACGGAAATCCACACAAAGGCGGAGGGATCCGTCCTTTTTCTTGACAAATAGGACCGGAGCTCCGTGAGGAGAGGATGAGGAGCGGAGGAGTCCAGAGGCAATATTTTCATCAAGAAACTTCCGGAGGGCTGCAAGCTCGACCGGGGGATAGAGAATAGATAGTTCCGAGGGGAGGACTAGTTCCTTCTTCCAGATCTATGTTCAGATCATAAGGACGATGTGGAGGAAGCTGACCAGCCTTTCCCTTGTCGAAGACATCCGCAAACTCGTGATAGTCCGAAGGAATTTGGGATAGATC